TTTCATTTGTATTTTCTTCTGCTGAGTAGTTTGTATTTGTTGATTTTAATTTGTTGGTTATCTAAATAATAGAGAGACTTTAGTAGTGCCGGTAGTTGTCCGTCTCCTCTATGGGTTCGACCCTAATTATCCTATATTCGCCCACGACCTGTATACTTACGGAAAATCGAGTGTAAAGTAGTTTAGGAGATTGTAAATTTAGAACTTAACTGTGAATTGAACTTTATTGTTATATGTATACCCCGCGTATATCAAAAATCAAGAAAAATGAAAATAGGAAAAAGAAGAAAATCAAAACCTAGCCCAAGTCAAATAAAAAGGAAAAAAAAAGAAAAAATAATTGGAAGCTCCCCAGAAATTTGCTAAGACTTTTCTACCTATCTTTTTCGTTTTCCGTAAGACTCCCCACACACTCGAAGCTAACACTCTACTCCATTACACTAATTACCCTTTCTCCACAAACACCAGCATTGTCCACTCTTCCCAATCTATCTCTCAATCTCATTTTTCCTACTTTTCAAAAAATATATAAAATAAGAAAAATTCATACTAGAATGCATGGAAAATAAATGACATATAGATAGATAAGAATATCAAGAAAATATTGAAAATCTGGTTGTTCCAAAAAAAACTGAGAAAATGTCTTCATGTTACTCCTTTTACATGTTACAAGGAGTATATTGGTATGATTTCATATGTTTTGAGTTTAAATAGCATGTAAAATTCAAAACAACCAACCAGTCCACAAAAAAAGTCACAAAATCACAAGGTGGCATGCAAATATTGAGATTTTCTATGAAATCCACTTGCCAAGTCTAAAGCTAAACCAAATAAATGTAGGAAAGAAAGGACCTTAGACCTTAGTGATGATTAACCGCTGTGGTGGTGGCTAGGAACTTCAATCAGCCCTGTCTTTGCTCCTTAGCTCTTCTTTCTTCTTCTTCTGTTTCTTTCTTTCTTTCTTTCTTTTTTTGGTTTTTTTCCTTTTATGCGTTATGTGTGCAGGTGTGAATGTATTTGTGCGTGATTGTGTGTGTGCACGGACACAGAGAGGGAGAGAGTCGAGTGAGAAGAAAGAGTGTTAGTGTGTGTAGTGTGTGAAGAGTCAGTGTGCGCTAGTGTGTGTGTGTGTGTGTGTGTGAGAGTCTTGGGGAAAAAGAAAAGGGCAGGTAGGTAGTTGTTAGAAGCTCCCAATTATTTCTCTTTGTTTTTCCTTTTTCTATAACTTGGGCTGGATTTCTCTTTTCTTGATTTTCTTCTTTTGCTTATTTTCATTTTTCTTGATTTTCATTTTTTTTCTTCTTTTCAAAAAACCTATAAAATAAGAAAATTCATATTAGAATGCATGAAAATAAATGACCAATAAATAGATAAAATTTTCAAAAAAATTATTGAAAAAATAGGAAAATTTTGGTGTTTACAATAATCTGGTTGTTCCTAAACAAATTGAGAAAATGTCTTCATTAGTTATAGGTATACTTTAGTTTTAAATAAATCACTTTGGATAATGTAAAAAATAAAAAATTTGACGGTTCATCAGCAGTGTCCAGTTGCATAAACTAAGCAAATTGCACAAGCATTGCACATCTTATCTTTGACCAATTGCGCCCAAACGTCATTGCACATATTATTTTTTACCAGCTGCAACTTGCACCTAAATGTCACGAAGAGTTTTTTATTTTATTTTATTTTAGTGTAAGTGGAAGGGTTCAAACCAGTGTTTTGAAAACCGGACCGGATCGGCCGGTTCGACCGGTTGAACCGCGAACCGGCCATGGCTCCGGTCCTGTTCAATGCCAGGTTTGACTTTGTCAAGAAACCGGTCAAAAATCGGTCGGACTGCGAAACCGCTGAACCGGATTTGAACCGGTTATTTCCGATTTTTGAGTTTTCCTTTTTTGCAAAATGTAGTTATCATGATAACTTATTTATATAAAACAAACACTCATATTTCTTTTGTTCCATATTTTTTTTTACAAAATATCATTCTTTCATGACTCTTTCTTTTTAATCTTCAACACACACACACACACACTCTCTCTCTCTCTCTCTCTCTATCATCTTTTCTTTTACCACTCATTTTTTAATCAAACCTCTTTATTTTTAATTTATTGATGTTTTCTTCCATATTTTAATTTTGTTTTTGTCCATTAAATTTAAAAAAGTTAAAAAAGAATTATTTTTCTTTAACCCAATTTATTTAATACCACAACCACTCACTTTTATCTCATTTTTTGTTTCTTATCAAATTTGCATTTCTCTTGATTTTCTTCGAACTCCAAACTTCCTTTTTTAAATTGTAAATTTAAATTCCAAAATGTAAATTAAAATTTAAGTTCACAATGTTTAAATTCTCATAGACGTGAATTTTGTATAATTTCAAATATTGTGATATTTTTGGATTATATTTAAGATTTTTTTGGTAGATATAATTGAAATTGAGATGAAATTTATTTGTTTTAACTTATAATTTAAAAAATTTATTTTCAAAAATCCAAGTTATTCAAAAATAGTAAACTTTTCATTATATAAAGTATTAAATTATCCATTACATGTCTTATTTTGTGCACATATATATTTATATAAATTATTTTTTAAAAAATTCATTGAACCGAGGTTGAATCTCGACCCTTTTACTTCACCGGTTCGATTAACGGTCCGGTTTTTAAAACATTGGTTCAAACTCAAAACTTCTTTTTTATACTTCCTCCCCTTGAACTATCCAACCCATCTCTTCCCCCTAAATGTCATGAAGAATTTGAAATAGTGTACATCAAATAACTTGATATATTTGTTTTAGGGTAAATGCTCCAATAATTACTAAATATTTTCAAAATTTCATCTCTGTCTCTTTTATTATTTTTTCTTGAAATTAACCAATCTAAATTCATAACATTAATCTTGGAATTCTGCGTATTTCCTTGGATAAAACGTGAGCAGCACAATGTATTGAAACATATGACTAGCAAGCCCTACTAATTTATTGAAATATCTTACATTTTTCATTAAATTACCAGTCTGCTGAGAAATTCTACCAGGTACATGTTTAGGAAAAATGTACTTTTTTTTAGAGTAAATCTTTCCTACACTGACGGTATATACACTATCATCGTTGGATTCATGATATGTGTACAAAAGTTGAATTTCAATTTCAAATTTTGCATAGTTGTCATTCATCCAACGCTGATAGTGTATACACTATCAGTGTAGAAAAGATTATTCATTTTTATTACTAGAACTTACCATTATGTTGAGTAATTTTACTAGGTATGTGTTTAGAAAAATATTACTTTGACAATGGAACTACCATCAACTTCTTTCTAAATAAAACTTTAAAGTTTCTAGCAAAATTTGAACTTATTTTATGAGTTTTTAGGTGTAAGATTCTTTAGTTGATTACTGACAATAAAATTTCAAAAAATACAAAACATAATTAAAAAGGAAAAAAATGACAGTTGTTAAGAATGAAGACTTGTACATATTTCTTCATTTACAGCCACTATGTTCTGAAGCTTATCCGTGAACTCATTCTCCATCTGTATGTGCATGTTAAAGTGGGCAGTTACCTGAAAAGGATTGTTGAAGAAAGGAGATTAAGTTTTATATCCAGCTAGCGAATTATACGCTACTGAATCATCTTCTGATGTACTTCAACTTGATGATATGAAACAAGAAATTTTCCTCTTTTTCTTTTCCTTTCTCTCCATAATAGAAATTTTATGAATCCCAACACGGAAAAATTACATGAAGTATTTACATAATAGTATTTACAGGAAGTGAAAATTTACAAGAAGTGAAAGGATGAAGTTTAAGGCAGACTGAGTAGAATTGGCTTGAGTTTCAAGCATATATCTGAGATGTAATGTCTGTTTCTTTTTTCTGGTTTCTGAGCTTTATTCATCGTTAACATCCCCTACTAGCTTCTCATCAGGCTATTACTATGACAGAACACGATCGCTTTTACCTTGTTAACTTGAGAAGATAAAGTACATTTTGGTGTTTTTTTTGGCTTTACCAAAATGGTTTGCCAATCTTGTTCCCCTACTTTGTGGTTTATGTCCTTCAAAGGGTAGGGTATCAGCTTTTCTTCAATTTCATATTCTGCTTTCAATAGAGCCACCAGTAATGTGTTGTTCTTGGCTTGGCAAAAATTTTCTGGCGAAGACCACAATAACAAAATTGGTAGTCAAAAGTTTTATAAGCTGTTGGCTTGCAGGTTTTTGTTCATAGATTTAGGCGCATAGGGAAGGCCTGGGCTTGGATGTTTGGTACCACCGAAAAGGCTATATAGCAAACAGAGGCAAAATTGATTGATGCTCTCGTTGAGAGTCGAACTCAAGACCTCCCGCTTACTAAACGGGTGCTCTAACCAACTGAGCTACGAGAGCTGTTTGTTGGGGGGCTCAAATTTTTTTCAAATATTCAGTGCACAGTAATATTTAAAATCCTACATTCCTACCGTATAGTTGCTCTCCATGAAATGACGATCAATTGAGTGATAGATCGCAAAAAAAAAAAAAAAAAAAAAATTTTACAATGAATAATTTTACATCTGATAGTTGAAATCTTTTAACTTGAAAACTTACTTTTGATTTATAGTTGAAAATGGTCAATAGTACGAGTCAAACTTCAACAAATTAAAAACTCATTTAAACTATTACTCTTTTCGTGTCATTGAAAGTGTTATACTTTTTATTTAAGGATGTTTCAAAACAATTATCATGTTAGAAAAATCAAAACATATTTTAGTTTCTTTTTTCAATATAATCTTTTTTCTGATCATATGTATGTTATATTCAAATTTATATTTTGAATTTGTGAAGATAAAATTAAAAAAAAAACACAAACATCACAACCAAATCACTATTTTTAAAAAGTTAATTTCTCAAACATGATTAAATAACTGGAGTGAAGGAAATATATTTTAGAATTTTTATTAAAAAATTATATTCTAACTATTCGATTTAATATATGTGTGAGATAAAAGGTCATCATAAAATATGTTAAAAAAGAAAAGGAATAAAGGGAATCCGGACATGGCCTCAATTTTTCTTTGAAAATATTGGAGACCAGCCATATGCTTGCTAAGAAGTACCACCCAAGTTGCTGGATTTCTCCCCAAAAATCCGCAATCGCAGCAGTCCATCAGCCAAAGTTTTAAGCCGCCAAAAGGCTTTCAGTAGTTGCAGATTTTGCATCTATCCACAACCCAGAAGAACCCAGCTCTCGAGCCATATAAAGTTCGAAACTTTAAGGTCAGAGACCTCTTTTTGATTCCACGTTTCTCAGTTCCAGCTCTTAATTTAACTAGATTTCTGTGTTTTTGGCGAGATTTTGTTACCTGGGTTTTGTTCAATTTTGTTGGTAAGGGCTTGTTTGGAGTCATTTTGATGTTTGCAGCTTTAGAGTTTTGGATTTGTTGCACTGGGTTTTCTGGGTCTGTGTTATTTCCTGCAAATTTGATCAGAAAATGACTGTTGCGTAGGTGAAAGTGTGGTAGTGTGAACTTGTGTGTTTAAGTCTATGTAGAGGACCCAAAGGCTTAAGAGCTTATAGTAGTAATTAGAACCGGGTTATATCTTGTCCAAAAAATTTAGGTGTAAGATTCCTTAGTTGATTACTGACAATAAAATTTCAAAAAAGTAGAAAACATAGTTAAAAGGAAAAAAATGATAATTCTTAAGAATGAAGACTCATATATTTTTTTCATTTACAGCCGCTATGTTCTGAAGCTTATCCGTGAACTCGTTCTCCATCTGTATGTGCATGTCAAAGTGGGCAGTTACCTGAAAAGGATTGTTGAAGATAGGAGATTGAATTTTATATCTGGCTAGCGAATTATACTCTACTGAATCACCTTCTGATATACTTCAACTTGATGATATGAAACAAGAAATTTTCCTCTTTTTCTTTTCCTTTCTCTCCATAAATTCATTCTAGAAATTTTACGAATCCCAATACTGGAAAAATGGTAATTACAGGATGTGAAAATTTACATGAAGTGAAAGGATGAAGTTTAAGGCAGACTGAGTAGAATTACAGGTTACAATAGCAGGCTGAGAATTTGGTTGGAGTTTCAAGTATATATCTGAGATGTAATGTGTATTTTTTTTCTGGTTTCTGAGCTTTATTCATCGTCAACTTCCCCCTACTAGCTTCTCATCAGGCTATTACTAGAGCAAATTACCTGGGGGGTCATTGATCTTTTTGAATGGTCAAGATTTGGTCACTCAATTATTAATAGTATGTTTTTACCCACTGAATTATCAAGCGTGTAAATTTTGGGCCATTCTGTCTAATTCCGCCATTAACTCTACTAGATTCAGAGGTCCACACGATTCAGGAGGCATACTAATTATAGTTAGATTTGGCAATGTTAACGGTGAAATAAGAAGGAATGGGTCAGAATTTACACTTTTGATAGTTCAGTGGGTAAAAACACACTATTAATAGTTGAGTGGCCAAAACTCGACTGTTTGAAAAGTTTAGGGGTTACCCGAGTAATTTGCTCCTATTACTATGACAGAACATGAGCTTTACCTTTGTTAACTTGAGTAGATAAACAGGTGTTTTTTTTTTTTGTTGGCTTACCAAAGTGGTTTGCCTATCTTGTTCCCCTACTTTATGTGGTTAAATGTCCTTCAAAGGGTAGGATATCAGGTTTTCTTCAATTTCATACTCTAATTTTTAACAGAGCCACCAGTAATGTTGTTCTTGGCTTGGCAAAAATTTTCTGGCGAAGACCACAATAACAAAAGGGATAATATCAGAAACCTCCCTTGAGGTTTTAAAAATATCACTTGGTACTTTTGAGGTTTTAAAAATATCACTTACCTCCTCTAGTAATTGTAAAAAGAATATATTAGCCCTCATTTGACACATAATTCATAACATATCAAATAAATGGAACTCAAAAATTGAAAAAAAAAAAAAGAAACGAAAGTAACTTTCTTCTTTTTCCCTTTTCTCCATCATTCTCTCTTACTCATAATTCTTGGATGACAATGTGATATTTTGTTTGTAAATTATAATAAATTAAATTTTGTTTATCTTTTACTTTTTGTGATTGTGATAAAGTGAGGTATGATTTATTTGCATATTTTGAGTTGATTTTTATAATGATTGGTACAGTTTAATGGTTTGAGCAAAGGTTGAGAAGTTGTTGGAAAAAAATATAAATTCATAAGAAATCGATTTTGAGCATATAGAATTCAATTGATGCAAGTGTATTTCTTTTCAAATATCTTTTTTATTTTTCAAATTTATATTTTTATGGGGTATATCATTGTGATGTGATAGTACTGCAAGAGATTGTTTTTGAGGTGATGATTTTCTTAAAGTGAACAAAGTGGTTTAGAAATATTTTTATTTAGCAAGTAAAAGGGCAGTTTAGAGTTTTTAAAAATTTTGTTACATAAATAACAAAAGTAAGGAAAGTAAGTGATATTTTTGAAAATTTAGGGGTGCCAAATGATATTAAGAGCTGAGGTTTCTGATATTATCCCATAACAAAATCGGTAGTCAAAAGTTTTATAAGCAAAAATCTGTGGGACCACCGAAAAGGTGGCAAACAGAAGCAAAATTGATTGGTGCTCTCGTTGAGAGTCGAACTCAAGACCTCCCGCTTACTAAACGGGTGCTCTAACCAACTGAGCTACGAGAGCTGTTTGTGTGGTGAATCAGTTTTTCCTTGGAATTTCACTGCACAATACAATTTAAAATCATACCATATAGTATGCTCTCCATGAAATGACGATCAATTAAGTGATAGATAGATAAAATAAAATAAAATAAAATAAAAACTTTTTACATTGAATAATTACATCTAATAGTTGAAATCTTTTAACTTGAAAACTTCATTTTTGATTTTATAGTTAAAAATGGTCAATCTTATGAGTCAAACTTCAACAAATTAAAAATTCATTTATACTATTATATTTTAGAGTTTATATATATATATATATTCTAACTATTTGATTTGATATATGCGTGACATAAAAAAAATCATAAAATATGTCAAAAAAGAAAAAGAAGAAAGGGAATCCGGAGGACATGGCCTAAATTCTTTTCTTTGAAAAAATTGGAGACCAACCATATGCTTGCGAGTATATAAGTAGTACTACCCAAGTTACTAGCTGCATTTCTCCCCAAAAATCCGCAATCGTAGTCCATCAGCCAAAGTTTTAAGCCACCAAAAGGCTTTCAGAATTTGCAGATTTTGCATCTACCCACAACCCAGAAGAATCCAGCCCTTGAACCATATAAAGTTCGAAACTTTAAGGTCAGAGACCTCTTTTTGATTCCACGTTTTTCAGTTCCAGCTCTTAATTTAATTAGATTTATGTGTTTTTGGCGAGATTTTGTTGCCTGGGTTTTGGTCAATTTTGTTGTTAAGGGCTTGTTTGGAGTCATTTTGATGTTTGCAGATTTAGAGTTTTGGATTTGTTGTACTGGGTTTTCTGGCTCTTGGTTATTTCCTGCAAATGTGATGAGAAAATGACTCTGTTGCGTAGCAATGATTCAGTTCATAGGCAAAAGTGTGGTTCTATGTAGAGGACCCAGAGGCTAAAAGCTTATAGTAGTAATTAGAACTGGGTTATATCTTGTCCATTAGGCCTCTTTGGCGGACCTGATCTCTTATCTTGAATTGTTTTGCGTCCTTCTTGCGAGGTGTAATGCTCTGCTTGGTGTGATGGGGTTTATCTTGGGTAGTGTTGATGTGGTTTATTCTACTGTAGTTATTTGATCCTCAAAATTGGTTGGACGAATTTCTGAATAAGTAGTCAGCCATTACAGAAGCATACATTTAGTGGGCTGAGATCACAATTCACGGGTTTGTATTTCACGTCTATATATTGGAACAGAGGATATTCCATAACGTGGTATTGGAACATTTTGGGCCTTTCTCCTCTAGTAGAGTATTGAAGTAGCTGAATTTTGATTGAAGGTTCAGCGAATTTAGGAGAATTGAGCAGCTGAAGTTATTACTTGATAGATTGTTGAGTCTGTGGTTTGAATTCTTTTTGAAAACGAATATTGACTGATTGAATTGCTCTGGATGGAAATTCAGTTCCTGCCCCAAAGCAGAAATCTTAGTGCCTGAAGACATTGATATGGGAAATTCATGCAAATGGCTCCATCTGTTTAGCTGCAAAAGTGAACGATGTAAAGGCTTGTTTTTAATATTCATAAAGCATGGCATTTTTCAGCACCTTCGTGAGTAGTGATGTTATTTGCCTTGTTGTGTTTAAGTCATGTTCTAGAGGATCTATCTCATGTCAAGCACGTGAATGATATTGAAAGGCTGAGATTGTTAGTGTTCAAATTGATTGATCGACGGTTTGTGCCAAGCCATATATGTCTTTATTTTTCTTTTATTTTTTTCACTTGTTTTTACTTCAAATATGCTTATGAGTCATGATGATGCCTCTGATTCTTTCTTTCAGCTGTCGATCATGTGTGCTGTTTGACCTCTTTCTCTGTCTCTCACTCTGAGTTGTTAATGTGATACAAAATGAAATACCTAGTCGCTTGAATTCAAAATGAAGGTGTACAGAAATTGAGAAATGCTACTTTACTTGAACTCAAAGTTGGCCGTTAATGGCAGAATTGCAGGTCTCAAAATTGAAGATGGATATAATATCCCAACTGCAAGAACAGGTGAACACAATTGCAGGCCTTGCCTTCAATACCTTTGGGACACTTCAAAGGGATGCTCCTCCAGTAAGGTTGTCTCCTAATTATCCAGAACCTCCAGCTAATCCTTCTAGTGCTGCGGAGGATGCAGCTAGTCTTGCTGAGCAGCCGAAGCTCATGAGTGCTGCACTTGTCAAGGCTGCCAAGCAGTTTGATTTGTTGGTGGCTGCCCTTCCGTTAGCTGAGGGAGGTGAAGAATCTCAGCTGAAAAGAATTGCAGAACTTCAGGCTGAAAATGATGCCGTAGGCCAAGAACTGCAAAAACAACTGGAAGCTGCGGAGAATGAATTAAAGCAAGTGCAGGAGTTGTTCAGGCAAGCAACAGACAACTGCTTGAACTTAAAGAAACCAGATTGAAGGCTACGCAAGTTTTCATTATAATTGTGATGAGTAGTTTTGTAGTAATCTGTTCAGAAGCTTTGCACCCTGCTCAAGTTAAAAAAAAAAAATTTGTGAGAGGAGGGGGGGGGGACTATGAAATCCCATTAGAACATCCATTCCTCTTATGTAGCTTATATTGTCCTTTCATAGAAGGTTCAGGATTTTGTCTGTCACGATGTATTTAGAGTATAATAATTGGTATGGAGGATGGTGGATTTGCAGATCATCATGTAATGTGATTGTGTCATAAGCAAATCATTTTAGCTCTTGGATCTTATCCATCGTCTTGTAACATACTTTTTCCTATCATGTAACTTGCTCAAAAGTCATAATCAGAAGAAGAAAATGTTTGGTACATTAAAAGTTAATCATGCACAAGCAGGAAAGGCAGCAATAGAATGAAAGACATAACCAGCAGGATCAATGAGGATATAACTTTCATTCCTCAAGTAAAGGCCTGAAAAAGGACTAGACAGTATAATTGAGGTCCAGAACAACATATCTATCTGAAGAAAACAAGTGAAGCTTCAAAGGTCACAAGTATATTACTAATGGTCCATGTAAATATAAGCGACTAAATCATACTAGCACAAAAGTGCCTTGTAACCAACAAAAAATGAAAGGAAAAAAAAAACAGAGAGAAATATGCAAACGAAGGATTACAGACAGAAATTTTGAATGACTTGATAAAGGAAGAAGAGGAATATGCAAATGAAGAATTAGAGACTGAAATTTTGAATGACTTAATAAGGGAAGGAGAGGAAGAAAAAATAGGAGCAGATGGTGTCATTTAAGCTCGTATTGGTGACTGAAACATGCAGTAACAAAATCATATAGCGTTATTGAAGTTGGATAGCAGTCAAGATTGATTTCAGCAATATGACCAGAATGACAAACAAATAGATGATTAATGATAACAAAAAGGATGAAAATAGAACGACAAACCAAAGGACAATACAAAGGATGGAAATAGATGAGGAGGAAATGATGACGACTTGGACAAACTTCAGAAAGAAATTAAAAAAAGGGAACTGATTGATGAAAAAAATGAAATGAGGGCCGTTGATTGATTACCAAAAAGAATGGAGTTAAAAGAAAATCGATCAAATATGATGACTAATAAACTCATAAACCTTCATTTTGCTCGAAACGTGAGGGATCAATTTGACATACAGCCGAATAATGAGGATCGAAACTGCTTTTTATCCTTGATTAATTTCCAAAAATTTCCAAAAAGGTGTGGCACCTCACTAAGTGCGTTTGATAAAACTAAAGTCTGAATCTATTAAGTTGTTACATTGTTAAGTATTAAATCTAATACATTTGAGTGTTTATCGCATTCAGTAATAAATAAATAGTTTATCACTTAATTTTGGGAGCAAGTTTTGCCTAGAAAATTCAGTGCCACTTAATCAATTTCGATATTTATTTTTTTGTTATCAAACAGTTTGAATATTTTAAGATCTGACTCCATTAAATTTAAGTGTTGAATTTGATTATCAATAAATCTCATTTCATCTACTATACTATTTTTTGGGTGCAATTTTATTAACATGCCCCCATTCTTGAATGTCGTGTGCTATACTCACTTGCAAGCTGCAATATTATAAATACACACCCATAGACATAGTGCGGTACTATAGTGACTAACGTCTATTTTAATGCAGCAAATGGAGACTCATAAGATAACGCACCTGGCCTGGCACAAATGGTCGGTCCAGGTGAGGCGTTTAAGTAACACAATCTAGTGGCATTGAAGTTGATTTACTAATATAATAAGATGGTTACATGTGGTTTTGGCTATGGATGTAAAAAGAATTATGCCTGAGTGTCTTGAAGAAAAGTTAATTCAGAATTTGTTTATACAACTAGAAAACAAAGCATCAACAAGTGTAGCAATCGAGCTCATTTTCATATACAAAAAACGTGAGTTTTTTTACGTATTTACGCAAATTTGACTCGAAAATTTACTTCATAAAAAAAGTTTGTTTGAGTTTGAGATGGCAGGTGATTATACCAAAATCAAGCACAAATTTCAAGTTTATTAAGAACTCAAATGCCCCCAGCAGGGAGTTGAGTTGGTGACCACATGCGGTAGTATCCAGTAGGTCATCGGTTCGAACCTTGCTGTGCTAAATTGCTGTGCATCCTTGGGCGAGACTCTGTACAGCCTTAGGGAATTAGTCCGGCAAAAATGCTGGATACCCCTATGTGACAAAAAAAAAAAAAAAGAACTCAAATCAAGTTTTAATATTTGATATTCGGTTTGTTGAGATTAGATTACGCACCAAATTCTATTTTATTCTTTTCTGGACAGAGTACTCCAAATTCTAAGCATGTCATTCCAAATATTTCCCAAGATCAGTGTTTATACTTTATACTACTTCCACAGTATCAGTGAAAGAGAGACGAACTAAGTCAAAATTAATGCGACACAAGCGAAAAGAACATCTCTAAATAACTGCATTTGTAAAGTATTTTTGTCCCGAGTAAATGCAAAACATATTCATCAAAAAACTATGTCCACTCAGCCCAAAATAAAGTCAAATTACGCAAATTTTATTCATAGATTTGTTGCAAGTTATTCTAATGGAAAAGACAAATTAGGTTTCTCATAGATAATAGTGGTAGAAACATATGCATCGGAACTCCATTTCCAATCCACCTCCTGTCTTGTTAGAAGATTAACAAAAAGACAACAAACAATCACACCTATATGATCATTATGTCACCCTCCATAATACAAATTTAACTCTGGCAGTTGCTAAATTATCATATCTCCTAAACTGCCAAGTTTGGCTTTGTAAAGCCAACGAGCTCCCTCCCAGAATTTTTGCTGTCCAAGACAACTGCTACATAGGTGTTCGAAGTACCATTTTCATCTGCCTTAATAAGGAGGCCATACTCAGTTTTTGCTCCAATTTGTTGGCTTGCAGCTTTTAAAACATTCGCAAACTCGATATTTTCTTTCTTTTGCATGTTATTTTCCTCCACTGCAAACTTTGCTATCGTGACAACCAAAGGGTCATTAGGGTCTAGTGCACGGAAAGCATCGGCAGGGCTAAAGTCCTCGTCGGAGTCGTCGGCAGCCGTCGTCAATGAGACGTCGAAAAGTGTAGAGGAAATCAAGAAAGAGAGGAAGATGATGAGAAGAAGAGGGTGGAATTCTTTGGCCATTTTTTTGAGGGTTTAATTTAATTTTTCTTGAGAGTGAAAACGTACGTAGGCACCTGCACGAGGAGGTTTTGGACCTTTGGCTTTGGTTATGGCCTAGTTTGGGAGGGTGTGGTTAGGAATTTATAGCACATTGAAGAAGACGATATTGAGCGTTTTTGGGTTAAGTTCTGTTTGTTTTGGAATGATTTTGTGTAAGATACAATTGAAGATATGTAAATCTTGAATTGAATGTCGATTTCTTGGTTAATAATACATTCATTAGGACTTATGATCCCTTTTCATGCAGTATTTTTCTTCTTATGCGTTTCATAATTTATTAAAACTTGAAAAGTTATGAAAGTGGCATTAGTGACAGTTAACGTGAGATTAATATGCAAAGATTGGGAAGAAAAAGAAGTTGAAACTGCCAATAAAAGTCTTTGATAATTTTTTGCTTAGAAAACAAAAATAGTTTGGATAAACGAGTTTAAGTCTTTTCTTTCTTTATTTTTATTCTTTTAGTACTTTTCCTCTTTTGAACAACCTAGATTTGCGTTTGTATGCTGCAATTGTTTTGTTCTTGTTTACATTTCTGGTTCATGATTAGTCAACATCTAATCAATCATCTTATTAGCTAATATCTCTTCTAGAAAGAATCCAGGTCAAAGATTTACAGAAAAAATTCCTTCAAAAAAATGATTTACAAAATTGAACGATTTAGATATTTACAGGACTACGTAAGTGAAAGAACTGCTCAATTAGATTAGGAAATATTTCTTAAATTAAGAAGAATTAACGTGATCATCTTGCACCTCAAATAAAGAACCTTTCACAGTTTGCAACTTAAAAACTCTTTCTTAATGCCACTTTGTTACCTAAACTTCTACTTAATTGCTAATAGGACAAAATTAACAGGCTATATATAATGTTTAGGTATAAATCGTCACAAAAAGAAGCTTAATTGCAAAGTGGTATAAACCATAGAAAGAATCAAAATCCAAGGACCAAGAAGATAAAAGTTTTTGATACATTTGGTTAGTGGGATTTTATGACGACATTAATTTTTGTAAAAGGAATCTGAGAGGAATAGTGAAAGCTTGAAAATATACCAATCATGAAGCCTTCATGGTATCCGTACGTAAGTGTCAAGTTATAAACTATGGAACTTTGCAACAATGAAATATTCAAATATTATGTGGCAAAATTACTCTTTCTTCTCATACGTGGTCAAAGGATATGTGCCATGCATTCCTTAGAAATTCAAATGCAATTTGGATGGGTACTATTATTATAGCCAATGTCTTGTGAGTTTTCTTTCTAATATTTTGTGTGATTTGGGTGATTAGCGTTCTTAGTAACGGGCTAAATGAGCTTCAAATTCGTAGAAAAGTATGTTAAATAAGGAAACTACATTTTAAAAAAAAAAAAATCAAAGACGATAAATACGCAAGAATTTCATGATCACCTGATTAATGTTTAAGGCCTGATTAGTTGAATTAAGTTCAAGGACTCTAAATTCTTTGGAAGGAACAAATCAAATTGTAATACTCCCTCAACCCCATAATATTTTTCATGTTTAATCCGTGCATTTTATGTACAGCAGTAAAAGTAAATGTGATTTATTGCTTCTTTCCAACTTTGCCTGCATTAAGGCAAAGTCACTGACATGGCATATTCTGTGTTTTGCCTTATCTGAGAAGGAAAGTATAACAGATTAACAATCATTCATCATCCTTTTTTTTTTTTTTTTTTTTTGCTGATGGAGTGGATGTTCGGGTCAATTCTTACGGGACCCGACTAATCCCATTCCGATCCGGGAGAAGAGGTCCCATCCCCCGAACACGATAACCACAGGATTCGGACCTTTGCGGGCACTGGACACCAACTCCTAAGGAAACTTGTTGAGACCAACCGAGTTGCCCATGAGGGACAGACAATTTGGATGATTTGGATCATTCATCATCCATATGGATGATTGGATTTAACATTGAGTGAAATACGCTTAGTACAACTTTCGTAGTACATATTTCGATATGCAATGGACACACTTTATCTAGCACTTGATGTTAAGATTTTGAAAATTCATATACACAATAAAGAATTAATAATAACCAGGGATGCAGCTTGGAAATGAAATAATAGCCTTTTGCCAAATTTGATACGATGATAATATAATTGTAAAATTGATTAAAAAGAAAAATATCACATGTTCAATAAAAATGGAGAGAGCGTTGTTTGGATGGACACTTCCTATTAATCCATCATGGGCTTATTAGTTTTCAGGCTGTTGAGTATCAGGATCAATATTGGGCTTCCACATATTTTCAACCTAAAAGATCGCCATCTTACGGCCTACCAGTTGGGACCTCGTTTGTGATAGGCTTTTCTAATGCAGAACTCCAGAAGTGCAACCTTGCTGAGGCTACTTGAAATAAGGTAGTAGGAAAATGAACAAACAAAAACCTTTAATTCACTTGCTTTTTTTCGAAAACTCTAACCAAATCCAAAGCTACACAAACAAATTAGTACAGTAGTAAATTTTCTTCTAGGGATAAGACTAGAAACCTCTTCTAAGGTTTCTCATAATATTATTTAGCGCTTTTGAGATTTTAAGAATAACATTTACCTTCTCTCGTAATTACAAAATGATTATATTAATATTCACTGGATACATAATTCATATATCAAATAAATAAAACTCAAAAAAATTAAAGAAAAGGAAACGAAATCCGCTTTCTTTTTTTTCCCCTTTTCTTCAGCATGTTCTCCTACTCATTTTATTTTGGATGACTATGTGATTTTTTATTTGTAAATATAGTAAATTAAATTTTATTTAACTTTTTCTTTTTATGATTATGATAGAGTGGGGTATGATTTATTTTTTTTTATTTTGAATAAATTTTTATAATGATTTAGTACAATTTAAAGGTTTATATTATGAGTTGAGAAGAAGTTGGGAATAAAAATAAGGTTCATAAAAAATCGATTTTGAGCATATAGAGTTGAATTGGTACTAGTGTGCTTCTTTACAAATATCTTTTTTGTTTTTCAAATTTATATTTTAATGGATTATAACTTTATGATGTGGTGGTACTACTAAAAATTCTTTTTTTTTTTTGGTTATGGTTTTTTTTGGAGTAAACAAAGTGGTTTAGGAGTATTTTTTATTTAGTAAAATAAGCAAAAGAGTAGTTTAGAGATTTTAAAAATTTTGCTACATAAACAATAAAAGTAGTGGAGGTAAGTGATATTCTTAAAACCTTATGAGTATTAAATGATATTGAGAGAAATCTTAGAGGAGGTTTCTGATATTATCCCTTTATTCTGAGATTCAAAGTTTCCTTCCACCAAAAATCAATTTAAAAAAAGAATACAATATTTACTAAATCTTGTATCTTGTGAAAACTATTTTTTGTATCAACTGAAGCAAGAACCAAATTTTGAAAAAAAAAAAAAAAAGAGCCAAATTTTGACTAAAAACAATCAATGTTTGGATAGCAAATTATCTCAAATAATATTCCGCTTGGATCATAGACACATTTTTCAACCTATCTTTTTATATTTTCAACCACCTTTTTTATCTCACATATATCACACTATAAAAAGTGTTACAGTAATTATTTCAAATATATTTCAAATAATACTCTATCCAAACAAGTAATCTCCTTGGTAATCCTTTTATCTTCAATACCCACAAAAAAATAACAAAAAAAAAAACAATTTGGAAAACCAAATAAGCTCTGTAACCATGTTGCTCTACTTAAATAACCAAAACTGACCAAAAAGAAAAAAAAAAAATTGGATATGAAAAGGCCATAAGCCAAAGAGAAACAAACATTTGAACCCCTGAAGCTGCAACTCCAGCAATGGTTTCTCCTCTCCTCCGTTTGGTAAGACTCCTTCCCTCGCTTCCACACACAGAGTTACTTGAATGTTGTCCTTCTATATGCTTTGAAATCTCTAACAATTCAGTCCCAGGAAGGACTTTGTATTGTAAGACTGTTTTCCTGCTAACAGAATTGGCACTTTGGCAGAGCTTTAGTCCGAGTTTTGGCAGTGGGTGGAGCTCCAAACTTAATGAGAGACCAAAAGCTTGTATTCTGCAAGTGGGTTTTCCTTTTCTCTCTCAGAATTGTCTGTTTCTGTTTGAAATTGTACACAACTCTTTATTCTACTTATGTTCTGCATCTTTAAGACACTCTTATGAGAAATGGTCTTGTGAATTCTGATTATATCTGCTTTTTTAACTTCTGTTCGCATATGAATATGATGATTCAATGATTTTGTTGCAATGTGAAATCATGATTTTCATAAATAACGTAATTTAAGGTGGACACTGGAGTGGAAGGATTGCTTGATGTGTCGTGATGTTTTGGTGACTTATTATGAATATGTAATTCTGTGTTTTCATAATGTTGAATGAATGGTGGTGACCCTAATGGAGTATTGTTAGGCAGCAGAAGATTTGTTCTCCATAAACTTTAGTAGAAAATGTAATTTTACATATTGGAATCTGGAAATAATTTCAGTAGTAGCAGCCACGACCACAGTCCGAGACATTGGATTAAAATCAATTGATTTTTGTCTTCGGATGGTACGGTCGTGTGCTATGTGAGTAATATGGGTTCTTCGGTTTTATAGGATAACATGAACTTGCTCTGATTTTTGGGATGAAATAAATGTTGGCTTGTTTGATGCATTCGAGATGGCTGGTATATTTGTCCAGGTTTGTTGCTAGCTTAGGAGCTTTTGAGTGTTGATAGTGTCCTGTTGATGTCATGTAATAGTTATGTTTGGGTTTTTATCTTCCCACCGAAACAAAAGGCCAGTATCTTAGCTTCTATTAACCCAATTCTGAGTGTGGCTTAAATTTTTGCATTAAGGTAGAACATTTAGCAGATGAAACATGAACTGATTTCTCTTCTTAGTGCAATTCTATGTGTCAATATGCCTTAGAACACCAAGAAAACTGTTCCAGAATGGATTTGTAGGATTCCACTTGAAACCATTATAGGTTGCAA